AAAGCATAAAAAGTTTTGGACACTATTTTTGTCTTTAGAATATTTGCGTCGGCAGCTTTTTTGATTGCCTGCTCAACTTTGTTCCAGTATTTATTGAGTTGTTCTTCAGTTTCAATCTCTATTGGTAGTGTACTTTCTTGCTGGCTTAATAATGAATCTACACTAATAGCAAATTTGTCTCATTTTTCTTTTGTCATTTCCTTATATAGATATATGGTTCTTTTCCTCTTTTTTGTACGATACTGTTGGATGTGTATGTTTAGTTGCCATTCTACTGTTATTATTTTATGATCGCTATTCGTAATTAATTCAGTGTAGATTAATTTAGGCTTTGTGATGGTTGATATCAAATCTTGTGATATATATATACCATCTATCTGGCTGCTAAGCTGATTACGGGACCATGTTGCTGTTAGTATATCAAAGTATTAGAGTAGACTTGTGATTCCATTTTGTTTCATTATATTGAAAATGGGCATTGATTTATTATATTTCTTTTTATCATAATTGAAGTCACCCATTACTATTAATTTGTAGTTGTGGGTTATTGTGTATTGAATCTAATTTACTATTTTTTGTTGTGTTTGTTTGTTGATATCCATGTTGTTGTTTGGGAGGTAGACTGATATTACTCTTATTTTTTGATTTTGAGGAAAGAAGAAATCGATAAGTATTGCTGTTCCGGGTGTAGTCTGTATATTGTGTATATATGGTTATAGTGTCTTTATTATTGCTAGGCCAGTTTCCATGCTAGATTCTTGTTTTTTTGCAACAGTTTCGTTGCTATTTGCAGTATAGATATTGAAATAAAGATTGCTTAGGTACTGTCTGTGATTGCTAGATTCTGCTATTTTAGTTTCTGTCATACTAACTATGTACAGGTTGTTGTTGTAGCAGTATTCTAACCATGTTTGATATTTGAGCGTATTATTGAGTCTTTGTGTATTATGCGTTGTGATATGTATACTTTTTATTAGGTTTCTGTTCATTGTTAATTGTTGGTTATAGAAGAATATCCCAGGTTGCCTCTGGTAGTGCTGGTAGATTGAAGATGTATTGTGGTACTGTAGTAAAAGAAAAAATTTCGTGTAAGCTTTTTAGTATGGGTTTTATATCTTCGTGCTTGGTAATAGGTATTTTAACTTGGTCTTGTGTTGAGTCGATTGATTCTAAATATTTCTGAGTTGCTTCTAATGTTTTGGGTATTGTTATTTTTGTCTTTTCTTTACTTTCTGGTGTTCGTGTAGCTGTATGATCTTTATTTTTCTGTATTTCAATCCATGAGTCTAGTATTCTGTTAAAGAAATAATAGGGCTGCAAAAGTTTGGCTATGTATACTAATTGTCTTGCTGAAGTAATTGGGGTAGTCAAATTGAAATCTTTAATTTGACGGAGGTTTTGTGGTAAATCTGGTTTTTTTGTAGGATTTACGATCATATAATGTGGTGGTAAAGGTATTGAGAAAGCATATCTTGTTGAAATTTGTTTAATAAAATCTTTTGCAATCTCAGGTTCTTTTATTAGAAATGAGAATTTTGTGTATGTTCTTATTTGTTTTGGGTCCTTTGGTAGTCTAGGTTTTGTTTTAAAGTAGTTATTTAAGATATATTTAAAATGATAGTACTCTCTTAGCA